TTTGAAAGATCAACCCACCCACAGGCTAACATCGTTGAAAGCAAGTTCATATCTTTTTCCACTTTTGAATTAATAGGCACTTCCGGTTTCGACCGGAAGGAAGGGTCATGTGATTTTACGCACACAAGATTAATTGAAGAGCATGTATTATCATGTCGATTCCCGCAAAATTCAAGTTCCGGTCTCTCACGGTTGATTTTATATTGAATTTCAAAGATTAAATTTATTATTTTTTGAAGTGACGTCACGTGACCCATGATGACGTCATAATGACGTAATTGCAAAAAAGCACATCTTCAGTGGGTTGTGCATTCATGTATTGACAATTAAAGTTCATATTACTTTTCATGTTTACAAACAGTTCCGGAAACGAATGTGTCTTGGAGAAATAAAAAAAAAAAAAAAAAAAAATAGTAAATTCTTACAATAACAATAGGTGTTGGGCTCAGGCCCAACACCTAAAAACCCTAGCAAAAACAATAGGTTTTGGGCTAAAGCCCAACACCTAAAAAGGGTCCCAGGTTATTTTGAACCGGGTACATGTGCTAGCAATGTAAATGCGGTGCCAGGGAAGTACCGAGCCTAGAGACAACTTTATGCCATTACAACGTTACATAATTATATCAACCGATTGTTACCGCTTCTCGTTAACCGACGCAAACCGCGGCAGCACAAACCGACAACTGGTGTGGGTCGTTATTCCCTTGAATTTCGGTTTTATCAAAAACATGTGCATGTATTGAGAAAATCAAATCAACAACGCACACGCAGACTCCTGCAGCACATGTGCATGCATGCGAATAAATAAAGCAAACTGTGGCGAGGCGTTGCGAACGAGATCCCGGTTGCGACCGCTAGATGATGAGGTAGGCCTACATACTCGCTTTTGTATGGTGGCCCTGAAGGGACATCGCATATCGAAAACGTGTGCGCATACGTATGCGATGTCGCGAAATTTATCGCGAATATGTGCGCACACGTTTGCGATGTCGCGAAATTTATCGCGAATATGTGCGCACACGTATGCGATGTCGTGAAACAATTCGCGAATTTGTGCGCACACGTATGCGAATTTGTTTGCAATGTCGTGAATTTTATTGCATACCTTGTCGCATACCTTTCAGTAAAATTCCTAATGAACTGGGGAGTTCGGGACTTTGAAATTTGCGCGCAAGTTTGAAACTTGCGCGCGCAAATTTCAAACTAGCGCAAGTAGCAAGTTTGCGCTCGACAGTACTAGTAGTAACGATTGCACGAGGAACAGCGTGCGCGCGAAGGTTTATTAGTCCGACCCTATTTATATCTAACAGTAGTACAGTACGTCTAGATTCCAGACTAGCTGCTACAACTCCCCAGTTCATTAGGAATTTTACTGAAAGGTATGCGACAAGGTATGCAATAAAATTCACGACATTGCAAACAAATTCGCATACGTGTGCGCACATATTCGCGAATTGTTTCACAACATCGCATACGTGTGCGCACATATTCGCGATTAATTTCACGACATCGCATACGTGTGCGCACATATTCGCGATAAATTTTGCGACATCGCATACGTGTGCGCACATATTCGCGATAAATTTCGCAACATCGCATACGTATGCGCACACGTTTGCGATATGCGATGTCCCTTCAGGGCCACCATACTTTTGGTATTTTCAACCTATTTGCACCGCTAGCGACGTAGAGGGCGGACGAGTATACATCAGAAGTTTAATCCGGTGTCATGTGAAAATCGGACTCGTATTAAAATCGGACTCTTTTACCCTTTTATTGGTTAAACCCTCTCACGTGACCGGTCCCCCTCCTAATTATCTATGCATGAGCATGCGCAATATCACCAATGAGTCCGTATTTTATAAAACCTAAATTCATGCTGCACCGGCTGTGGCAGGGATGAACCGTGAGGTGACGCAGAAGCGGTAAGGTAAAGGAGATTTAAGTTATCCTCTCGAGTTTGGACATAAAAGGTCGCCTGGTGTTTTTTTTTTGCCCCGCCCACCCTCCTCAGCAAGGTCGCTTGTTCGGACTCTGGTTTCTACGCTCGAATCTTTCTTCCCCATAGGAAGGGTGTGCATGGACTTATAAAAAGCCTATAGGGTCATTTGCTTTTCATGCATATTGGTTGTTTCCAATAATAAAACGGGTAACACCACTCAAATTCTGTTGAAGTTTTAGCTCAGTAGATAGTACACTTTTCGAGAAAACAAAAACAATACACATGATCACTACACACGATTTCGTCAATAGCACTCTTTTTTCTAAAGTCAGTTAATATTAACTGATCGTTGGGATTCACCTACAATAAATTTCACGGGGTGTACGGTACTAGTCTATAATCCAAGGCTAAGTAAGCTTGTCGATAGTTAGTCGGTATTTACTTTTCGGATAAATGCAAATGATATATGCCTTTAACAAATGATATTGGTAAAATACGAGACATTTCAAAATACGGTACTTTATCACGGATAATTATGAGAGGAAAAAAAAAAGACATTTGGAGAGGACCAAGTTTGGGTAAAATAAACGGAAATAAGTTTTGATGTGTTTGATGTTTCCCCTTAAATTGTGTTTGTGTCATTACTGACCTCTTTGCGGGCCCTTGTGAACATCAAAGTTTGACAAAGTTAGACATGTTTTTGGACATGGTGGAAGTGTGGCCTTTATTTACGGAGATAATCCAGTAAATTGGCCACATTAATGGGGCTAGTATTGGGGAACATTGGGTACACCCCGTCTAGCCAAGCGACAAACTTACCGGATGAAGTTCACAGGAATTCGTGGGTGGTGTTTAGGTGTATCTCCTGTGCTGGCTCAGGCTTACAAGAGGCAGGTACCGGTGTAACGTGAATATCCGACTCCATGAAATGTGGACTCATTGGTAGTGCTGCGCACGCGTGAGTACGATAATATGCTATTTTTAGGATCGTTTCGGGAGAGTGACCTGTCACGTGCGAGGGATCAACCAATAATAGGGAAATAGGGGTCCGATTTTCATAGGAGTCGGATTTTCATGTGACACCGGGAGCCCAGGGCTTAATATAGGGTGCAGCGCTATCATGTGATCATGCTGCTGCAAAGCATGCCCATAAATGGGTAGAACTATTTTGCATAATAATAATAACGACGAATTGCGTTTCCCTCCACCAATCAAACCTGACCAAGTGTCCCTGTTGGGCATGAAAGTAGTCTAGGGGCTAGACGCTGTTCTTGTTTGCTACGCCGATAACCCGCCACCGCGATAACCGGCCACCGCGAGAGGGCGCTATCACGACCAACCAATATCACCCACGAACCTGTCAGAACAACGTCTAGGGCACTGATCTCTATATAATAAGACTGGATAGCGGATAAAGAGCCACACAATGAATGAATTTGACGCCATATTGGTGAGACCACTGATCTTTATATAAAGACTGGATAGAATAGAGAGCCGCACAATGAATGAATTTGACGTCATATTGGTGAGACTGTGAGACCGCGGCTGGTGATCTACACAGGACAAGTTGCCGTCTTTATAGACAGCATGATTTCTTTTGTAACATCGCGGTTCACTTGACTTATATTTTGACCACCACCACTGACCAAGGTTTACAATTTTTCTAACGACGTGGTTTACTTGTTTAATGCCGCAGTTCACTTTTTCGGCGTTTTGGAAAAATAATCACTACGGAAATGTGTCCCTTTTAGAACTTCATAATAATGTGTACGTGACTAAAGTGCGCGTCAACTGTTGATACAACGCGCGCGTATATATACGCGCTGAACGTTCGTATTATACGCAGCCATCTTCGTAAGACCGGGGGCGAATTGGCCAATATGCAAAGTCTACTGTGTGAATGCTGTATGGATATCCGCTATCCAGTCCGATAGAGATCAGTGGGTGAGACCCATTGATCTCCATATACACATAATAATCACTACGGGAATGTGTCCTTTTTAGAACATCATAATATGTGTACGTGACCAAAATGTGCGTCAACTGTTGATACAACGCGCGCTGACGATACGCGTAGAACGTTCGTATCATACGCGGCCATCTTCATGAGACCGGGGGCGAATTGTTCAATATGCAAAGTTTACTGTGTGAATTGTGTATGGATATCCGCTATCCAGTCTTAATATAGAGATCAGTGGTCTAGGGTACTTGCTTAAAGCTTACAGTCCATCATTTGTAATTTGTGCATTTTGTTCGTTTGAAGCAACAAAAGAGTTCAAAATCTAATGAAGGATACTGGGCAACTACCCTGATGAAGGGCAACTACCCTGAGGAAGAATTTTCTCGACAGCCCGCAATACCATCCTTTTTAATGTAAATGTATTCATTAACATAATGTACATGCGGCCATTGGTCTCAAAAATTATCCCACCTTTAAGCATCTAACAAGTCAAGGCTTCATTAGAAACATGCATTTACAACGAATTTCTTGAAACCTATAAAGAGAAACTCAACCCCTATAAACCGTAAAAACCCCAGTATTTGCCTCTTTAACGAATGCCTGAAACCAAAGACAAACTAACCTCTATAGCATCGTAAACGTCGGCCATGATTTCGTTGTCACTCAGCAATCTTTCAAACGATCTGTGTGCTATGGCACAAGAAACGATCTCCACCCTCGCCTACGCAGGAACAAAGGACCACGCCTGAACGCAATAATGCGGAACCATAATGAAGGCACGTGTGAATTACAGGTATGCGCACCGATCCGATATGTATGCCACTCAATCCAAAGCCAAGACGAATTCACCAATCCAAAATGGAAGAAAATGGATTCCATAAAAATCGACAAGTTGATGCTACCATGCCAAGCAGAAATAAACCCTCCATAATACCAAATAAATAACAAACCCAAACACGCACCGGAGCACGCATCCATGCAAAGTCAAGGGTATTCTGCACCCTCGGCATGTCGTATACAAATGAACAACATACCTGAACACCCCGTTTTTTAAAATTATATATATATTTTTTGGTCATTTAAGGATACAAAATTAACCATGGGTCATCCCTCTTGAATCTTCCCGCATGCAGCACTGTTCCTCTACTTGTTCCGGCAATACATGAGCTATGGGGAGAGATATTTGGCCATAATCGGACAGCCCGATAGCCAAAGCGCCCGATCGCGGGGCCGGCAGAATCGCGAATGATGTGGAATCAGTCGCCCTCAACGTCCACCGCGATGCAAATAGCACACTATTTGGGCAATAACCCGAGCCCACGAGGCCGGCCAGCTGTATTAAGTTGTAAGCTCGGCCAGTGATAGGTCTTTATGTGTTACATAAGGAGATTAAATTTCGTGAGAAACCGTCAAACTGAAAGTTTCTTTCCAGAAATGTCGCGCTAAATAAGACTAGTGGTCTCGCACCATCAAGACAAACGTGCGCTCGTACCTACTTTATGTTTCGTTCAATAGAGGGCGCGCCACATATATAGTGGTCTCCACAACGCGCCAACACGGATGCTGCACTATTGAACAAAAAGAACAAACTCGTTTCAGATAAACTACTCAAGAAATACAGGATGCATTAAATTGAAATTTCGTGAAGTGATTTTCCACGATGTGTTACAATATCACGAGAAACCGTGGAACAATAAATAAAATATGATCGTAACAATGTAGTGTTTCAAAAGCGAAAAATCAACGTTGACTTCCATTCGGATTGCATTTGTCGCGCTTAAAACATTGTATTGTTACGGTCCTTATAGCTTCATTGTTTGACGGTTTCTTAATTCATTAAATCTCGCAATGTAAAACATAATGATAAATCAGTGTACGAAAATTTAGTTTACTACATCATGTATTTCATGAGTTGTCCTCCAAAACGAGTTTGGTGGTGGACATCGAGACCCACTATTTATTCGGCGCGCCCTCTATGGAAAGAAAATTAATAGGCGTGCGAGACCACTAGGTGTGCAGACCTGTGATTGGCCCCAAATTGCCTACGCTAGCCAAATCACAATTTGTGTACCCTCAAATACTTTGCTATTAGAGCATTTTGTGGGCCAATAACTTGAAAGTTTGTAGAAAAGAAGGGCAGAAGGCGTGCACGTGACTGCAAGCTTGTATTTCTGTAATTTGGGTGGAATTGGGCCTTCAAATGGCTCTATTTTTGCAATGGAGTTTAGGCAATCGACTCCCAGAGACCTAAGTGATAATTACACGTACTTCCATTAAAAAAAATGCTCACAACAGATCTGCAAGGTGTTTAAAATTTTAATTAAATACATCTAGGCCCTATTGTTTTTTGAGTTGTTGCCCCCAAAACGAGTTTGTTCTGTATTTCAAAATTGAAATTTCGTCCAGTGTTTTGTCATGATGATTGTGTAAAATTATGAGATTAAATTTGATGTAAAACCGTCAAACAACAAAAAAGAATATAACCGAAAGAAATAAAATATTTTAAACGCGAAAAATACAAACCGAATGAAAGAACAGAAAGTCAACCTCCGTGGAAAAATCATGAACCACTCGTTACTTGGGCAATAACCCGAGCCCACCAGGCCCAGCTGTATTAAGTTGTAAGTTCGGCCAGTGATCGGTCTTGATGTGTTACATAAGGAGATTCAATTTCGTGAGAAACCGTCAAACAACAACTGAAAGTTTCTTTCGAGAAAGGGCGCGCTAAATAAAACTAGTGGTCTTGCACCGGAACCAAGGGAAACGTGCGCACGTGCCCATTTTAACCCTAAAAGGGCCGGGTTATTTTGACCATCTCTCAGCCGGGGGGGGGGGGTGGATTCCACCCTAGATCTCGGCCATCGAGTGACGAAAAATGTTGAAACTCGGTACATATAAAGAGCAACTCATCATGAACACACCCAAGAAATGTCATGACTATAGGTAAAAGGGTTTTGGAATTATGGCTTTTTTATGTACGAATGGTAATTCTGCTCTGTGTAAACGACGTATATGGGAAAATTCAGTTTTCACGGATCACAAAAAGTTCAGTGTTCTTTCAGCAAAACGATAACAAATCACATAAGGATGTGTGTGAATTGTTTTCGTTTTGATGAAAGAATGCACGTTTTTTTTGTGATCCGCGGACAGAACCTTAAAACGGTGGTTGTGTTTAGAACTCCGTAACTTGAAAAGTACATAAGTGATTTGAATGATTCTTTAACGAAAAGAAAGCTGATGAATTGGGCTTTTAATATCTTAGATTTTGAAAGTGCTACATGCAGAACTTCACTAAAACAATGGTCCCGACATTTGGGTTTCGTTTTTTTTTTTTTACTCATCCTATACAACCCTCTCGATGACAGAAATTAAGAATATCGTAATCAATAAAGCATTCTGCTAGTTAATAGTTCTGAACAGTGGCACTCTGTAAAGTCTTGCTTATGCCACAAATATGTGTCAAATCGAAATGAAAGTCAATGAAAGATCATGAAATATTGGCGATCACAAACTTAGTTTAGCATAAAACAAAACGGAACAAAACTGGAAAACATTATCATATTAAATCCAACTTTCCAGGCTTTTTTCCACCATTTTTTTCTTCAATATTTAGTTGATTGTCTCAAGGCGTTTTTCTCACAATCACTTGGGACAACACTGAGTATAAAGTAAATACGTCGGTGAAGGGCAAAAAACAATATTGAAGCTTCATCACCCCGACAAAATGTCCATCTTTTTTGAAAATATTTAGTTGATGCAGGCGTATCATGGGTGGTTTATCGGAAAACCAGTTCCTGATTACTTTAATGTGTGTCTTATTCATTACCATTAGATAATAATTACTCTGAAAAGAATTGAAATAAAACCACCCAAAAAAGAAACTACATTATTTTTTTTAAAAATCTTCAGGCCTACATTAACACTTAGGCTTACTCCTTGTCCTGAAAATTGAAGTCTTGCTACTAAACAAAATGAAACAAACATTCAAAGCAAAACAAACTAATATCGAACTTTTACAAATCGTATCAAACCAAGTCACCCAAACTAACTACAAAATAATACGATATCATATTTAATTTTCTCCAATCCAATCAAAACCAATCTATCAAATTAAGTACACTAAATGCAGGCTAAATTAAAACTGAACCCAATCTATAATCGAACCGAAGCAATCAAATTTAATCAAACTGAATTTAATCGAAATCAGCTTCATGAAATCTGAACGAGTGTAGGCCCTATAATGACAAAGGATTCTTTAGGCCTATAGGATGAAAAATTAAACAAACATTAAAGGAATTACAAACAACCCAAACTTGTGTCAATCGCGTGCTGAAAAAAAAGTTGAGCAAGCAGCCTAAGAGCTAGTGCCGTATACAAAATCAGTGTATTCCTTCATGACCTGACTACGCATTTCGAGAAAGCCAAAATCAGAACCTGGGTAGAATTCGTCAATGGTCTGGTTCTCGCTCACGTAATCGAAATACGGCCAGTACGTAGTGTCACCAGCGTCGTAATTGTAGCACTGAATGGTGGCGCAGTACTCTTTCCCGGGGTTGCGCAGCTTGTGGGTCTGGTACCAGTTGCGGTTCAGCCAAGTCGCGTCTCCTGCGCACGCCTCGAACGTGAACAGGGGGTCGTGGGAACTGGTCTCCGACTGCTTGTTGTAGATATCGATGGTGATGGACCCGAACAGGACCTTGATGACGGCATTGGCGTTGCCGTGGTTGTGGATGGGGCTGTAATGGCCCCCTGGCCAAATCTCCAGCACGTACGGGATTCCCGGAGATTTGCCGAGACTGCTGCCCAGCGTGACGCGCAAGTAGGTCTCGTTTGGGTCGTCGCCGAGCTCGCCCACTTTGCTTTCGATCTTGTCCTTCAGGATGCCGTAGGCCAGGCTGTATCGGATGGCGTCCGATAGTAGCACCTTCTCCCCCTCTACCTCCGTGTAATTCAGTTCGCAGTTGGCTACGTTGGAGTACAGCTCTTTGCAGGCCGCCGGCAGGCTGGCAGAGAAGATGTGGTCGCCCCTGTCCAGCTCGAACAGGTTGGCCTTGGAGCTGTCCATGACCGTCGGCGGGAGGTTGCAGATGAGAGGCTGTTTGTCGAACTCAACCATCGGCTCCGTCACTTCGGTTGCCCTTGCTAAAAAGAAACGATTTTTTTCCAGGAAATTGCCTCATCTTTAACAAATACAAAGGCTCTCAATTATTATTTCTTGACGGGCAAAAGCGAACTAGTATTAATCCCCACCCAGCCCCCCCCCCCACAATAAAACACTTCCTGTCCATAACCAATCCTACTCTTTTTACTTATACCATTTACTTTATCAAAGCCTAGACCGAATTCCCGGACAGAAAACAATGTACCGAAAATAATCCGGCAAAGACATGTAATAGTTGTCAAAAATAACATGTCCTACTTTAGATCATAAACAACTCTTGTTTATCATACGCCATATGAAAAAAAATACTAGCTTTCAGAATGTCGATACAGCACTGGAGACGGAAGGCGCGTGCGGTCGAAAGCTCCTGAAAGAATGCAGGATCGCCCCTGATGTCATTGCTCACCTCCTCGGTCGCGTGTTTCGCCAAATAACCAAGGAGGTGTGCAACGACATCAGGGGTGATCCTGCATTCCTTCAGAAGCTTTCGGCCGCAGCAAGCGCCTTCCGCCACCGTCTCCAGGTGTTGTGATCGACATGTAGACATTGGAGGACGCCAAGTCGGAAGTAGCAGATTCTGAAAGTGAGGATGTTTTTTTTCGTTTGGCGTTTAAATCTCGCCCTCTTGTACAAAGCTGATGAAACTCACTCCATAAAATGTATCATGCTTTTATTTGCATGCATGATCTAAAAGTTTGGTTTCATTCCACTGGTAATCAACAGAGTTTGCTCAGCACACTTTTTATTTTGCTAGGTTTCTGTTGAAATTTACCCAGATGGTAAAGCATGAAGTGTTTTGTTAGATCATAATTTGCTGGTTAAACTTGTGGTTATATTAATGTTTGTTTTTCCATTGCTATCTAAGTCAATGTATACTTACCGGCATACATCTGTATGCTGGCTTTTTCGTCGTATTGCCTGACGAACTTCTGAACCTCGGCGGTGAAGAACGGCTGCAAGTCTTCCCTGATCTTCATCTGGTCCTCCTCGTCCGTGACCCCCTCCAAGAAGTCGTGCGTCATGAGCGTGGTCTCCTCCATGCGGTAGCCCTTGCCGTACTTCAGCACCAGGTTGTCGCGGTCGTAGCTGTACCAGTACGACACCTTGCCTTCCTCCACCCCGCACCTGGGCGTGTCGGCCTCGGTGACCCGCCTCAGCTCGGTCAGGTTGGCATCTCCGGCGCTGTTCATGACGAACGAGGCGTAGCCCACGCCGACGTGCAGAGCCAGAACATTGCCGCTCGGGTCCTCGTCCTCCACGCAGGCGTAGAAGGGCATCATGTGGCGGTCCGTGTTGAAGATCATCACTCCCTGGCCGTTCACCGGGAAAGGCTGCCCCCAAACGCACGGCAACTGGCGATCGTCCGTGACTGGTGTCGCAGCTGCAAACAAAATTGTAGATTTTCGACTGTCAACCCGAAAATAGATTTTCACTGAAACAGAACTTCACTAAAACAATGGTCCCGACATTTGGGTTTCGTTTTTTTATATGACTCACCCTGTATTGGATATGACTTAACTCACCTTTGGCGGAGGCCTTAGAAAGCTCGCTTCGCGGTGATGCGGTCTGGCGCAGGGCCGGTCGCTTGGCACGAGACTGGTTCAGCATGGTGACGGTAAAGATGCTGTTGACGGAATTAAAAAAGGAAAAAGTGCTTGAGGTTTCTCAAATTTTCACTTTGAACACTTTTTATGAGAGGGATCCTAGTGAATAGTTTTGGTTGTGATACAAACTACTCCTCGTCTAAATACAGTAACATGATGTCATAAGGGTAGCAAACTACTCCTCGTCTAAATAAAGTAACATGATGTCATAGGAGAAGTGCACTTCGCCTCTTTTAAATACAGTAACATGATGTCATAGGAGAAGTGCACTTCTCCTCTAACTGTAAATTATTAAAGTTTCATTGATCAGAATGATGTCATAAATATTATTAGCAAAGGGAAGCGTGCTTCTCCTCTAACTGTAAATTAAGTTTCATTGATAAGAATGATGTCATAAATATTATTAGCAAAGGGAAGCGTGCTTCTCCTCTAACTGTAAATTAAGTTTCATTGATAAGAATGATGTCATAAATATTATTAGCAAAGGGAAGCGTGCTTCTCCTCTAACTGTAAATTAAGTTTCATCGATAAGAATGATGTCATAAATATTATTAGCAAAGGGAAGCGTGCTTCTCTTTTTTAAATACAGTAACATGATGTCATAGGAGACGTGCACTTCGCCTCTTTTAAATCTGTGGTTTATAAATTATATTTTGTTAAAGTTACATGTGTTTTAATAAAGTTAAAACTTTGTTTTGTAAACCTAAGAAAACGCTGTTTGTTTATTTATTTGAAAGTATTGATAGAGGGCGCATCAGTCGCTGTGAGTCTGTGTTGAGATCGCCAAGAGGGCGACTGTAAATATTAAGAGCCTGGCCTGATTCCGAGACTGAGATATTGGGAGAGTGATATATTGGGAGGGAGATATATTTGGGGAGAGGGGGAGATATATTTTGGGGAGGGGGATCTATTTCGGAGGGGGGGGGAGGGGGATCACTGGGAGGGGTAAAGTCTGGTACCCTCCCCCTCCTTCTACTGCACAGACAGTTTTTTGGCCGGTAATTTTAATCAATCAAGTAATAATATGAACTCAAAGCACACTATTAATCAGACCTCAACTGCTAGTATATTTGGGGTCATTTTGTTTATATAGTGCAAGAAAAAAAACACTAGACAGCCGGACTAGTGCAGTCACACACAGCACTAGACCGACGCTAAAATCACTAGACACGGTCCACGGTCCAGTAGATATTTCGAGCCGGCCCTGTACTCTATAGGCTTCCGGCAACCGACGCATCGCAACGTGTGACTTGTCAAAGATCAACTCATAAAATGAACAGCTAAAAATGTGTGAGAACCAGACGCCAGTCACGCTATTGATAGATTATGGTGTTCCATATGTGCCAACGGCGGCGCATTTTTTTTTGGGCGGCGCATTGTTTTTTGGGCGGCGCATTGTTTTTTTTGTGGCGTCGCCTGAAGAAAAATATAACAAGCAACTGTTTCAGCTCGGCTCAGCTTACTTCAACAAAACTAATGAAAGTAGACAAAATAATACTGAAACTTTCAAAAAGTATTACTGTAATTGTTGCTTTACAGAAAATAGCCTGCTGAGCTAAATGTTGCAGTATTCCAATGGAAAGTGATTGTACACAGGGGCAGGTACATAAATAGTTTGCATAGTGGCTGGTTTTGAATAGTGCCCCTATTTTGAAAGATGGTACCAGCCTCCCCCCCCCCCCCCCCACTATTTGATTTTACGGAGGCCAGGTGTACGGTGAAAAAAAGTGCCAACATCAGCAGAAAATGTAGCCCCCCCCCAAAAAAAAGTGTCCTTTTTTGGTGATGCCCCCACCCCCCTTTTCAATTACGAGAGCCTTAGAATTTTGAATCCCCCCCGCACCTGAGTTACACATTTTGCAAGTTTTTTCAGCTGCTTTCATGATCATTCCAACCTCTAACTCTTCTAAAGCAGGCTCTGTCTGTGGGCACAGGCGTATTAATAATTGTTTTTGGGTGTCAGAGTAGGGGGGGGGGCGGAGTTAGCGTTAATTTTTTTCCAGGCATTTCTTTGGAAATGGACATATAGCCCCACTTGTGTGGCCTCCGTATTGCTGAGCTGTACGTTTAGGCCAAACGTCTGGTTTTCCAACAGTACTGAGGAGTTAAGTCCAAACACTGGCGCACCCTTTTTTGGCTTTTTTTTTTGCATACCACTTTATATAGTTGTATTCTATGATTTCTCAGCTTTTGCCCTCCGGGTAGATTAGGTAATCTTTGTACCAATTTTTCTGGAAATTTGGGCATCTTCCTGGAGTCCATATGCGCCAGTTTGGACTAAACTCCTCAGTAGGTTGGGAAACCAGACGTGTGGCCTAACGTACATCGCATCAATACCGAGGCCACACAAGTGGGGCTAGAAATGGACAGAGATGTGGAGTTTGTTTACCCCCCACCAGCCACGCCTTGAACAAAAGGAAATAATGTTGCAACCTGACGCTGCTTTTTTATTCATATATCATCTCAATGAAGGTCACTCATTGCAAAAAAAATGATGATATGACATGAATCTGGGACTGAGAAATATTTCCAATTTTGTTAGGAAATAATTAAAACAAATTCTTGACTCTCCAAACACTTTGTACACAATAACTGCTAAAGTAGCGTCACTGCAGGTTGCAGCAGTCTTTCCCATTGCGCGAGTCTGCGATTCTGCGCGATCAGTCGATAGACGCGATATTATCAGTGGATCCATCGCATCACCGGCTGTCGATTGATCATGATGTATCAGTCGAACCCGCTGCCTTAAGCCGAATACAACAATTTTCTTTCTCATCCTACTACTGTTGACTGGACGCGATCGACCGATCGCGCAGATCTACCGATCCCGCTAGTCCCTACATAACATGAATTACACTTTACAGATCCGGGAGGGAGTATATTTCAACACTTATTCCACAGCACTTTTCCCCAACAGACATCACTTGGGCATCACATGACAGGCACGTGGACACGTGACCCCCCCCCCCCCAAAAATGCGACGCCTAAAAAAAAATGCGCCGCCAAAAAAAAAATGCGCCGCCAAAAAAAAATGCGCCGCCCCAAAAAAAATGCGACCCCAAAAAAAAAATGCGACCAAAAAAAAACCATGCGACCAAAAAAAAAAAATGCGACCAAAAAAAAAATGCGAACACAAAAAAAATGCGAACCAAAAAAAAAAAATGCGAACCAAAAAAAAAAATGCGAAAAAAAAAAAAAAATGCGAACAAAAAAAAAAATGCGGAAAAAAAAAAAAAATGCGAACAAAAAAAAAAAATGCGAACAAAAAAAAAATGCGAACAAAAAAAAATGCGACGCTGTTGGCACATATGGAACACCATAATAGATCCATGTGGGCCGATCGTACTTGACCTTCCACCGGTAGCTCGTTATGCGAAGCAGCAAAAATGTTGGTAAAAGTATCTTTGAAGTAGGCTGCCCATTTTCGTACTTCGTTCGTAAAAGAAATATCCTGCACACACAATGCCCGAATTACCCATCCCCTGGGACCTCGACATGATGATTCCTACATGATTGAAGGCTGATCTCGGGATGATTTTATACATGAGAATGCCATGCAATTCATACTAACACGACACCTTTGAAAACAGCTGCAACATAATCCAAGACCATGAAGCTATAAACGCTGTAGCCCTACATATACATTTTCTGTGTTTTCTCAATATGCATAGCTAACCACTGAGCCGAAACTCCAACAGGTTTGGTACTTTGTGCACCCTGATAGTAGTAGTATAAGTACCTCGTATACTAAAGATTTTGAGCAATTTTGTTGTTACGAATGAAAACAAATTGCACAAAAGCTAATCATTCAATTTGGCCTACCTATATTTAACATGCTTCAGCGAGTTACAAAATGTACAGGATTTTAAACTACAACCTAATATGTGTGATGGTTTAGCCGGGTATGTTCCCCAATATCCATGTTCCCCAAAAATACCTATGTTCCCGAAATCCACTACTAACCCTAACGATTTTGGGGAACATAATGTATTGGGGAACATAGGTACAGTAACGTATTGGGGTAGCCCCATAAGTCGTCGCTTTGCTCACGAAGTGACAAAAACCTCGAAAATCGATAATTATTCGAGTTTGAGTTTTACTGGCCATTTTATTAAAGTTGTCTCAAGGAACAATTTGACCAAGTTTCAAGGCAAAATCTTGTTAACTTTCTTAATTATTGTAAACAAACAACTGACAAAAAGCCTGAAATCGGAAATTTTCATTTTTACGAAATGCAAAAAAAGTGTAAAATGTTCTCACGAAGTGACAAAAATTCACCTCGTGAGCAGGGCCGGAGGAATTATACATTGGTTTACACGCGGCGGGATGGGAGCATACACGCTCGTGCGAACGATGCTGAAAAAGAACAGACGCGCGCGTGCTCACCCATCGTATGACGCGCAAAAGTAACAAAATGTCGTCAAAAGTACAAATAAGTAAAGCCTCTGCGATTCATGTTCCCACGAAGTGACAAAGAGTCAGCTCGTAAGCAGGGCCAGAACACAGAAAATAATTATACAATGGTTTACACGCGGCAGGATGGGAGCATACACGCGCGTGCGAACGATGTTGAAAAAGAACAGACGCGCGCGTGCTCACCCATCGTATGACGCGCAAAAGTAACAAAATGTCGTCAAAAGTACAAATAAGTAAAGCCTCTGCGATTCATGTTCCCATGAAGTGACAAAGAGTCAGCTCGTGAGCAGGGCCAGAACACAGAAAATAATTATACAATGGTTTACACGCGGCAAGATGGGAGCATACACGCGCGTGCGAACGATGTTGAAAAAGAACAGACGCGCGCGTGCTCACCCATCGTATGACGCGCAAAAGTAACAAAATGTCGTCAAAAGTACAAATAAGTAAAGCCTCTGCGATTCATGTTCCCACGAAGTGACAATAGTCAGGTTGCATACGGTTGAAATCGTGACCGACTGGTCCAAAGCACCAAACTTGGCAGATAGATTCTTTAAGCCCCAGTGAAGATATTTAGAAAGGGTGACACCTGAAATTCTTTTGG